AAAAAAAAAAAAAAAAAAAAAAAAAAAAACGTGACCATTTCTTTCCAATCAGCTAGCTGCCGCAGCTAGGTTAGGTGCAGGGACAGATCCAGGATTTTCAAACAGTGGTGGCTGGTACCATGGGGTTGTAGAATCAATTGGGCAATTGGCTCTCCAACAAGGGGTCGCTAGCCTGCCCAATCCCCCCCTCCAATTTGCCCCTGTGGGTGCTTTCACTTCCCATGTCTAGGATTATAGTATTTGCACTAGACTTTAGTGGAACAGCCTGAAGGGCAGCCTGCGAACATAGACGTATTTCTGGCTGTCACTTGGATCCGCCAAAAATATTTATTTACTTTTTCGATATAATACTTTAATTTTCAGCAGAAGCAAGTTACAGCTGGAAATATGTCTGTGTTCACAGCCTACCTGAAGGGGTAGAACAGATGCTGGGATTTGTCTGTTTTTTCACTGAGAAAATATAATTTGTTTCTCTGGGACTGGAAATCACAAACAAAAGAAATGTGAATATGGGATTTAGGCCAAAAACAGGCCTGAAATGGAATCTGTACAAAATTTGAAATTCTTCCAGCCCTCCTTTAGGACCCTCTTAGTGGTCAATTTTGTGATGTGTTTTCACTCACATCATGATTCTGGGGAGGAGCGTTGCATGATGACACTAAAAACGGCTACAAGGGAGACTAGATTCGGGTATATCATATAAGGGAAATTCCGGGCAGCATCTTACCTTCCAATAAAATATTGCTTTTCTGACTTGATTCCAATCCACATTTTTGCGAGGCTCAAAGACCAAAAAGAACTTTTGAGTCTCCTTCTCCGATTCCAAGAGTTCATTCCAGTCTTTATTTTTAAGTTCCATCGCGCGCGACTGTGACCTGGGCACTAACCTTGCTCAGTTTTCGCGCTTTCAAGGAAAATTTTCATGAGGAAAATTGAAGCATTTGGCATCGGAAGTTGAATAGTGATTGTTTGCCTTGAGGCTCGAACAACAGAAACGAAAACAAGCTCAACAAACTGGATGCTACGTCGATAAATACAACGAGAATTCTTTGTTTTGTTTACAAGAATTAAGTTTCGTTGTTCTCGCTCGCTCGTTCGCCATGTGTGGGCAAGCTCGATCCGTCATCGCTGAAAACAAACGATCGAATTGAGAAGTGCACAAGCGATAAGATTTCTTGTAAATGGATCTGGAGGATCTATCAAACTTTTGGGCAAGATTTCAGATAGCTTTCTCCTGGGATTACCCTGAAGGATTGGATGTACAAGCTGTACAATCAGCCGTATTCCATGTCGTCGGCGATGGTGAAACAAGGTATGATTATAACTTATTTTAAGTTTTCATTCATTTCATTTTGAACCTTACTTCTCATAACGGTACAAGATGAATTATTTTGTTTGCTATCGATGTTAAACCGTTTAATTTGCCATCGGCAAAGTAGCGTTTTAAGCTTGTATCGATTTGTTCCAGTGGCGAAACTGAGCAAATATTGATGGCGCCGTTTCAAGCTAACCGAAAACGGGCTTATTCAATTAATCCCCGTGGTGCGCAAATAAACAAAATGTAACAATTCGAGATCGCCTTTAATAAGTAGTACGTAGGTAGGATTAAAAGTCTAATCTATGTTAGCAGTCTCTTTTAATCTTAACCTTTTAGCTTTGAGAAGGAAATTAAGAAACACACATGCTAGGTGAAAACATTAGGGGGTCTTCGCTCGTAGAACGTTAGCTTAGTTCTTTGTCACGCGATCCAATCAATTTTTTTTCTTTTGGTTAAAAATAGGTGTGATTGTTTAGGTTTAAACCAAGTAATTTTGTGATAATAATCCGACGTCGTGAAACAATGCATTGTCTACAAACGCTATAAAAATGTTTAAACCTGGTTTTTAATTAACTGAAGTACTAAGTAATGAATCTTACTAGAAGTATTTCTAAATGCGATTCAAAAATCACTGGACTTGAAAAATGATTGCAAATGATTATTTATTCTAATTACTATGAAAACACGCTTGTCCTATGTCTTTATCTTTTGACATAAGTCAATATTAATTTTCTTCAGAGCAAGTAAATGTTTATCTTTACGCTGAGGTAAACAAGGACAAAAAGGGTTTTTTCGGCCTTTTTCTATACTTGTTCAACCATAGTTGATTGGAATCTCCATTTTTCTTAATCTTTCTCATGTAAATTCGAAATTATAAACTGTGGGTGTGTAATGTATTCTTAATGTGCGGAAGAGAATGTGTTAATTGGGAATTATTGGTAGCTGAGAAATTTTCTTTCTTTTTGAAAGACTGACAGCTTATAAGAATGACAATTAAGTTCAAAAGGGTAAAATTTATATGCCAATCTTGTGAAGGAATGCTGCTGCAAAGTTCCCAAAGAAATGTAAATTCTGACAAAGGACATAGCGCTTATCCTTTGTGAGTCAGATTATAATATTATTTTCTTTTTTGGGTTGTAGCAAGATTCTTTTAATTCTTTAAGTAACAAAGTACACACAGCAAATGTACCTTAATTACCAGCGCTTTGTTTGCACGGTAAATAATTCCTTTCCACTTCTTTACAAACAGATGTTTTTCTGTCTGTAGTGCGTGACAAACCTGGCGTGGGAAAATAGCATATCTGAGGTTCTGAAAATTTGATGAATTTTCATAGGGGAGCATTCCTCTGGACCCCCCCCCCNTTGACTCGTTAGTATCATGAGACTGTATGAGGTCTTTGAGTCCTTTTGCGATCCTCTGACATGAATGACATCTGTGCATTTCCCACATCTTCGACGCTTGCGAAGGTAATCTTGACCTCTTCTCTCCCCACCCCCCCCCCCCCCCCCTTCCCCCTTCTTTGTTATGAACCAAACAGCCTCAATTCAACCTCATCAACTATTTGGCTGCAAATACAGGCAACCCCTGAATTAACAACCACATCCCACTGATAAACAGTTAATCAGCTCGCACTTGCAATACTACTACAGTATTATTATCAATTAAAACTCCAATTTATTCTGATATTATTAACTTAAGCTTGATACATGTAATTTACGTTTATTATCATTTCTGGGGGGAAGGTCATGTAAAAAATTTAGAATTATGAGAGGGATCATTGTATATTACAGGGACTATATATCAATTTCCACTTCTGCTGCGATGGTCAACTCCCATTTCCCATCAACGGTCAACATTCATTTGGCTACCATCAATTTTTATTTACCTTTCTCTTCTTGGAAAAAAGTAACCAAAGGAGTTGGCTAAAATTCAGTCTACAGTGAACATTTTGTTGTTGTTGAATTTTTTTGGAAATGTGCAGAATCACGGACTCTTTTTCTTCTTTAGGATTAGTTTTTTTCCTTCTAGCATGATTAAGCTGAGAAACTGTTAGTTTATTATTTCTGAAGGTCGGTTGAATGTTAAATGATATGGTCAGCACGTTTTGTTTCCTTTGGGTTTCAGGAGCTAGCTGTACCCTTTTTTCGCAGAAAATAACAGGAAAATAGGAAACTAACTAAAATATAAACCCCAAAGGTTGACATCGTGGAGTGCTACTAATCCAATGGCAATTTTTTTGTACTTGACGTCTTGGTCATACATTTACCCTTTAGTTAATTGAAATAAATTAAGGTAATTGTTTTGTGGCACTTATCATTATTTTTTTACAAAACTAATTACAACCTATAATTTTATAATTTTATCCAGGGCTGTCATTAAGTTTTGAAGCAGCCGTTGCATGTAAGTTATCACCTGTAGCAGTGAAATACATGACCCACGGCCACGTTCCGAAGGCCCGAAAGGGCCTGAGCATCTAGGGGGGTCTGGGGCATGCCTCTCAGAAATTTTTTGAGCATGAAACCCCTGGAAATGCATTTTCCTGCTTTCTAGGGCATGAAAATGGCAATTTTCCTAATCAAAAATGCTGATAAAACAGGGTGATAATATGTTATAGTACATCATCAGCAAATAGTGAAATAACTTCTTTGTTGCACCAACCTATTCAAGTGGTCCTTATTTTAGTACTGTGTGTTTTTCACAGTGCATAATTTCAAATTCATGCACCTTAATTTACAGAGATCAAATGAATAAAGTTATAAAATATCTCCAACAGACTTGTGTTCCTTGTTTAAAAAAAGAATAAAA